AGCACTAGTACCTCTCCGCCAGTACCTTACCTCTGGCACCTCAGCCCTAGTACCTCACCCCTGACACCTCTCCCCGGGCAGCTTACCTGTAGCAGCTCACCTGTGGCAGCTCAACAGTGGCAGCTCAACAGTGGCAGCTCAGCCTCGGCTCTTCAGCCCTAGCACCTCTCCCCTAGCATCTCTCCCCCAGCACCTCTCCCCGGGCAGCTCACCTGTGGCAGCTCAGCCCTAGCACCTTACCCTCAGCACCTCACCCCCAGCACCTCTCCCCGGGCAGCTCACCTGTGGTAGCTCAGCCCTGGCACCTCTCCCCGGGCAGCTCACCTGTGGCAGCTCAGCCCCGGCACCTCTCCCCCAGCACCTCTTCCCCAGTACCTTAGCCCTAGCACCTCACCCCCAGTACCTCACCCCCAGCACCTCTCCCCGGGCAGCTCACCTGTGGCAGCTTAGCCCTGGCACCTCTCTCCCCCAGCACCTCTTCCCCAGTACCTTAGCCCTAGCACCTCACCCCCAGTACCTCACCCCCAGCACCTCTCCCCGGGCAGCTCACCTGTGGCAGCTTAGCCCTGGCACCTCTCCCCGGGCAGCTCACCCCGGGCAGCTCAGCTCTGGCACCTTAGCCCTAGCACCTCACCCCGGGCAGCTTACCCCGGGCAGCTCAGCTCTGGCACCTTAACCCTAGCACCTCACCCCCCGCAGCTCACCCCGGGCAGGTCACCTCTGGCAGGTCACCTCTGGCAGCTGAGCCCTGGCACCTTAGCCCCGGCAGCTCTCCGCGGGCAGCTGACCTCTGGCAGCTCAGCCCCGGCATCTTTCCTTGGGTACCTTAGCACTAGTATCTCTCCCCGGACAGCTTACCTCTGGCACCTCAGCCCCGGCACCTTAGCCCTAGCATCTCTCGCCTAGCACCTCTCCCTGGGTACCTTACCTCTGGTACCTCTCCCCCGGCACCTTAGCCCCGGCACCTTAGCACTAGTACCTTACCCTGAGCACCTTAGCCCTAGTACCTCTCCCTTAGCACCTTACCCCCGGCACCTTATCTCTAGTACCTTACCCCTAGTACCTTACTATAGTAGGATTATATACTATTTCTAATACTTTAAGAAGATTATAATATTCAAGCTTATACTTTAATATTCCTAGGTATAGACATATATACTATAAGGTATTATTCAACAACTGGCCACAGTACCCGTAGTAATATCTGTAATAGAAATATTTATTTATCAATATCTCAATAACCACTAGGCTTACCTAGCTTATACTAATATCATTCTGATCACTAAAATCCCCTCTATTACCCTATATAAATTAATATTAGTCAGCAGTCTAAAAATTTCCAGACCTCTTTTATACTGTTTTCAACCTCTATAGGCCCTGCTTATATAATCATAGCCTTCTAGACCCCTACTCACTAAGCTTACCTATATAGTAGTACAAACCAGATTTAGTTAGCTTCACTAGTTAGCCAATAAGCAGCAACCCTAGTCTTAACCCAAAAGCCCTAGAATACCTCATAGCTAAGGCAGAAACCCTAGGCTTAGAAGGCTGGCCAAAAAGGGTATAGACTACCCGTCGGTCCTGGTCTTGGCATACCCCATCAAAAAATCACCTACCAAAATCAGACCCCTTAGGGTTTTACCCTTCTGACTAGAAATCATCCTGTTAAACCTGACAGGAGGATAGTATAGATAATTCTAATCAAACTTCTAAAAAGCCCGATCGAAAAATATAGAGGGGTGACCTAGTTAGGGGGGGGGGACGTATTTACTCGTCCCCCCCCCCTCGCCAAGACTTTCTCTAAGCGCGTCCCCGGGGGGGGGGGACGGGTCGGAATATATTTAGGAGAGCTGTCCTGTCGCTTCTGGTTTCTCCGAAAATGCTTCCATGTCTTGACGAGATTCGTGGATATGTTTATCTGCGATGTGTCGACAGAAGTCATCATGGTGGGATAGATTATATAGAGTGGCCCGGAAGACCTGATCTCCGTGGAACTGATCCAAGGAATCTAAGGAAGAAGAGTCAACATGATTAACTTACTCATCATTGCCAGCCTCGGGCTGTGCTATTCCATCTTTCGTCCGATTTTCATATACTTTAAAGACGATAAAAACTTACGTCGCTTTCCCGCACCATCCATAGCCGGATTCACAAACCTCTGGTCTGCAAATAATTTTCGAAAAGGTCGGCGGTCTCTTGAGGTACACAAGGCCCATGAGAGGCTCGGCCCTGTGATCCGGATCCAGCCGGAGCATATCTCATTCAACCTTCCTGCAGCAGTTACAGACATCTATGGGTTTACAACAAAGGTCCAAAAGGATCCCTTCTACGACACATTCACAGGCAATGAGTATACTTCGATCGTCGGCACACGGTCCAGAGAAGAACATGCTCGAAAGCGAAAATATGTCTCGAACGCGTAGGGTGCCAATCCCACTTTTAGAGATCCGGATGGCATGCTAATGGAGATCTCATAGGTTTGCGCAGAGAAATATCGTAGACATGGAGCCAATCATTCAACAGCAAGTGGTGACATTTCTGGCCAAGATGGACTCTTTCTGCAGCTCATCACCCTCAGATAATAAAGGTGTTCCGGTTGGTGGGACGTTTCACAACGTTCGGAGGTGGCTCAATCTGTTCACCTTCGACGTGATCGGCGCTGCTGCATTTGGAAAGCCGATGGGCTTCCTCGAACAGGGAGACGACCTAGCGCCTGCGGAGACCTGGGACGGCAAACGATATCACATGCACGCCATCCGCTCCTTTCATACGAACAGTCGATATGATGTGATTCTGGCCCATTGGCCGAAGCTTCTCTGGCTTACGAAACGTTGGACACAATGGCACCCTGGCAACAAAGGCGGAGCAGACTTTACCGCTCTCACGATTCGCAAGGTTCGGGAAAGGAAAGAAAGCGGAAAGCCGGCAGGATACACCGACTTCTTCCATCATCTCTTGCAAGACCGGAACGGGAAGGACGTCGGACTGTCCATGTTCGAGCTGGAGAAAGAGGCCGGCGTCATGATCAATGCGGGTTCGGACACCACAACCACTGCGATGACCCACTGTCTTTACTACCTTATCCGCAATCCTCCCGTTTTGAAGAAATTGCGCGAGGAGCTGGATGCGGTCCTTGGCGGTCAGGCCACAGCTGCCCGATACGAGCAAGTCAAGGATTTGAAATATCTACGTGCGTGTCTGGATGAGGCCATGCGTCTGCGACCGCCGACATCTCTAGGGCTACCACGAATCACGCCACCTGAAGGTGCGAGCATCGCAGGGTATCACATCGCCGGTGACGTCACGATCTCGGTGCCGACGTACACACTACACCGTAATCCAGAGCTCTTCTCCGACCCAGAGACATACAGACCAGAACGGTGGTTAGATGAAGTGGAAGGTCCCAGATGCCGGACACATGTGCTGCCATTCAGCACCGGGCCGAGGGCCTGCATTGGACGCAACTTGGCGTACCTGGAGCAGCAAATCATGATCGCAACGCTGGTCCATCGTTACGATTGGTGCTTTGAGAGCGACGACTTTGAGCTGAGTACGATCGAACGATTTAATGCCAACCCAGCGGATATGTGGGTGAAACTGTGGAGAAGGGAGCCGAATGTGCAGGCGTAATAGAGTGGTCGCGGCGTGAGAAGCGGTTGAACCGCAAGTATTCTCCTTTCCTTAGTACATATATGTGATCCGTATCATCACGGCATCAGGAGCATTAAATATCCAGTCGAAGTATAAAAAGGAAACAGTGCCAAGGCCCAATGTTAGAGTATGATGGCTTTGAAGTATTGTAGAGATCGGCCACGCGACGGGTAGTTCCCTATATCTTATTCCCGACACGCTGTGTACTCTATTGTTAACTGCACTGGGGTTAAAGTTTGGCAGAAGTCCAGATCGATTGCCTGCACATCTAGAAGGCAGGTCCGCCGAATCCGGCCTAAGTCCTCGTGGGTCCCCAAAACAACCAGAAGATAAATAGACGAGGTTTGCTGGAGATCCCTTTCATAAAGACGACTTTGCCCCAGGCGAAGTAGACGACGACTTCGAAACGAATGACGCAACGGACCCTAAACTAGAAAATGCCTCTGAGCAAGAAGGCCGATTAAGCACGCACCCCCCACCGCCAAGTAAGTGGGTTAAGAAGCTTAGGGAATCATTAAAAGGACCCCGGAGCTATAAAGTCTATTCTTGAAAGACCTAAAACTTAGATAACTATACGTCCGAATCAACAAAGCTCAAGAGTGGCTATGTGTAGATGCCAAGAGACTAGTGTATTAGAGCGAACAGTCATATCCAATAATCTATTACTGTAGCCTAGCTAAGCAGTTTCGCACTGACCTGCAGGATCCTCAATTACCTTTCACTCTATTCTCACCCTAATCTCACCCAGGCGACACCCACCTAACTATTAACCGTACATAAGCCTAACGCCGAATGGCCATGCGGGCCAATCATTTGGTTTAGCCTAGTGGAGAAACTAACGATCGCCGCTTTTCGGTCGCGCGACACCGGGTGAGAAGGGTGAGTGAGCAATAGACGGGGTGAGAACCTGAACAAGATTCACCTCGGGTCATGCGATGATCGCTCGGGATCGCCGTTAGTCGAACGGCTACGCAAGTTCGTTGGCTCGTGACAACTCCACCTAATAAGCCAAAGCTTGCCGTGATCAAGTAACCTATATCTTCTAATCGCCGCATAGTTCGATTCCGTAACAACTGTAGGAAAAGACTAAGTGCAGTATATAAAGCAATAATAATAAAAGAAGCTTTGCTGATAATGTTCGAGTCGAGTATCTACGCAAATGATACAACTAAAGATCATTGACCCAGTTTTGAACTGTAATTTGTCCTTTCCCTCGTTCTTGGATGCGGCTTGATCTGCAACCAGTGGGTGTTATAATGAATTTCTAAGTTTTTATACAATGAGCATCCGTCAACAAGATGATTGACTGTATCTTGATCTGTTAGTAGGTTTTGGATCTCTCTGATCAACTATAATATCTCCTCCAGTGTTCCAGAGCGTAACTTAGCAATTAGGCATAGGGCGATACGGAAGTATAACAGCTCGGCGGTATAAGCCTTACGTCTCTGATCACCGGCTATATCATACAAGCACTGGCGACCTTCGGTCATATATATCGTATATAGGGTCGCACCAGAGCACTACACTAGGTTAGCTCCGTTGAATGGAAGAACTATATTTCTGACCTTAAACCTTTTTTTCCGACACTCAGTACAGGCCAGAGAAGTATTACGTCGCTGTTTTGTCTTTAAGTCTATTTTCAGATACTGTATAAATTCCTTATCACTAGGCAGGAGCTCGCACAGAAGATTATTTTTTGACATTACAGGATTAGATAAGTGACAGGCGCTTTGCGGATAATAAGATTTAGATATAAGACTTGGCTCCGAAAATAAGAAATTCAGAAGAATTCTTAAGATTCAGGGAAAACACTTAAGCTCCTTTGTTCTCCTTTCATATCCTTGCTCTCAGTTTGTTTGCTAGACTAAAAATTACCTATAGCAAACAAAGAATCTAGCTAGGAGACCTACTAGCCAATATACAGAGGAAGATCTTGTCTTATCTCCAACGGAAGCTCTTGCTTTGCTAGGATATCGCTGATTATAACTCTCACCGAAATGTCTCTTAAAAGATAAGTAGTTGCTCCGCTTCTGGCACCAGATTTATTATACAGTTACTGATGATATAGTCAACTGTAGAGGGTGGTAAGGGGCTAGATATAATAAATGCCTCGATAATAGATGTATTAGATGCTCTGGTATTTCTTGCGTTACGAGGCTAATTCCAGCATATCCTAGACTAAAAGTTAAGAAGGAAGATATAATTGTGTTTATATAGAGGAGTGCCACTACCTACCTTTATTATTCCAATACCTATAGCCCTTCTTTCCCGCCCAACCTGTTTTATGGCTAGTAAAACATTAATACCTCCACCACTTCTAAGATCAATAACTGTCTCGTACTATTTAAGATTCTTAAGATAAAGTCAACACTGGCAGCTAATAGTTCTCTGTAACTCACTGGGCTGATATTAATCGTTGCCAATGGGTTCCTACAACTAACACTTATATTTATATTGTCGGGGATGGAGAGTAAATCCTCTGGATTATATCCAAATACCATCGCAGCTTTTTCTTATATAGAGTTGGCCTGGTTCGCAATACTTGTATATCGTTGTTACACGGACCGATATATATCCTCTGATTTCATCACGAGGTAAGGTATGTTGCAGTATCAGAGCGGAGGTAATTTTTGTGTAAAGGAAAGATGGGGAAAAGAATAGACTCGCTAGAGGGGGAAGAATAAGTGTTTTAAGCTGGATAATATATCCAACTTAGTATAATTTATCCTACGGATTAATAACCCTATACCCGGCGAATCGTATCTACAGGGTCATTAAGGAGTTATAACTCGTCGAGTATACAACAGGGAATACTTGGTATAGGACCAACTTACCCTAATACCGATTGCACATACAGGCGTCGGTGATCTATTTATTTATGGTTTCGTCATCTGCCCCCTTGACTAAGACATGTATGTGTTCTAGATTGGTATGCTCTGTAAACCCGATAGTTTCTTGAACCACAGGACGCACCATAATTCCCCGAACCCCGTAGCATCTATAAAATACCTCTTAACAAAACCGTCAACAACAACTCTGCCCTCTGGCGATATGTCCCTAGTCTCCGGGTCCCGAGGAATAGTAATTTGTGACCAGACAACGAGATGTATAACATCGGGTAGCAATACGTAGGGCCAGTCGTTAACCTAAATATGATAATCGGACCGATCTAGGAAGGGAACGAAAGATGTCAGGTGGAGTAGAGCGTTCTCCAGCTGCTTGGCAGATGGTTAACCACCATATAATTAACCAAACTCCTGTACTAAGACGTTGCTTTAGTTAAAAACTGTAAATACCGTAGGCTATCGGACTGTCTCCTTTTCAAGTAAGACAGGTTATTGTTATATACTGAAGGTGAGTAAGGAATAAAGGAATACCTCAGCAGCAACAAAGGACTCAATGATTATCTGTTGTAGTCCTTCCCAGCTGTGGTTGTGGCTCTCAACATCTATGTGCATCTCTTGTATTTTGAGATACTTTGCTTAGAAGAAAGACCAGAGTAATCTGAATCTATACTGTATCTAGATCTTGCCTGATATAGTATAAGAGTCAATATGTTGACAAGCAGGCGGTCAGAAGGCTACCTAGGTAAATAGTGAAGAGGTGTTTCTTCCCAGACTTATAGGTAGGAGGGTAAACTGATACAGAATAAGACCGTCAGATGATAATCAGAACTTATCGTAGGGTTAATTTACTAACTAATTTCGGGAAAGCGCTTTGTGGGGCTTGTAGCTGCTAGTAGCGGATATAAAGCGTAGTAGCGAGCGATAAGAAAATATAAGTTCTATAGTGTTACCTGCAGCATAGTTAACTTATGTAAGCGCCAAACCTATAGCTAACTAGGGTATTATCTTCCTGCGCTATATAGCCTGTCGGTGTACCTATATACATATATATTTCTGCTACCTAAACATTAGACTTATTCTCAATAAGAAGACTCTGGTTTTAGTGTAACCTTTAAGGGCCAAATCTGACGATAATACAAGGCAGACCATAAGTTAAAGGCACTAGAGAAACAAAGTGGTATAATACTTCTAGTTATAGTTACGTACAGATACTAAGATACCAAGCGTTTCAGGGGAAAGAGTACGATCTAATAATGTTCTACAGTTGTTTAGCTAAAGGGGTCTATACAGTGGTCGTACGACTTAAGTGATTCTTACCCAGATTCTTACCCTGTCTATAGCATACTTACCCTTGTTACCCCCGGTCGTACAACCGTAAAGCGGTGCTTACCCATTTCTTACCCGGGCGACAGCCACCCGACTATTGACTGTATATAAGCCTATTATAGTTTACGGCTAATTCTCAATGTGCCCTGCGCTCTAAAATAGCGTTGGATTTGACCTTAGGGTAAGTATAGGTGATATAGGCGAGAATTTAGGAGACTGGGGTGATAGAGGTAAGGACGGGTTGAGAGCGGGTAAGAATAGGGCGAGTATTCTTACCTAGATCACCCAGAAAACTTATTATCAACTGAATCCGGAAAACTATAAACTGAAGGCTTATCTCCTTTTGTAAAGCTGATGCCATACCGAACCTCTAAACGCTAAATCAAGTAAAGTTATAGTAGACGTCGCCTAGCTCTGGATTTTGTTTATTTTTAGGTATTCTTAGTAGGATGATATAGAAAAACTAAAGCTATATAATTAGGATTAATATAGAACAGATCATTATAAAAGCAAATTATTTATACACTCTTAAGTACTTTATTAGCTATGTTTTGCTTGATCCTAACGATATCGTGGTGGTCAGATCTAATTTGAGTCGGATACCTACAGACGAGGAGCTCCGCAATGATTTTGGATTGATTTAATACAAAGGTAACTGTAGATAAGAGGTTGCCGAGCTTAAATAGATTGAGCCTAATCTGAGGGTTCTGTACCCTTCCAGCTTGATGCCTATACCCGTTATAGCCTCAACAACGTCTGTATCAGCCTCTACAATAGACAATATAACAACGAGTAAGCGAATCAGCAACTTCGATAGTATATATTTTCCTCGGCAGACGCTAGCCTATAGAAAGCTACCCTAGGCTTAAAAATCAAACCTTGGCGTTATAGCCTGTCTGTGATACTTATAGTTAATCTTGTACTTTGCTGAATATTTGGCATATTTCACCTAAATTCGATTTAACTCCCTGTAATCTATTCCTTTCGTCAGTCCTTATTATAATAAAAACTTTCCAATGCTTTCTACTATGCCTCTCAGTTAAATGAATCCGGCCACCTGTGCTCGAGATAAATTTCGTAAATTGCCTACTGATTGTGTTAGACTAATGTAAAAGCCAGAGCTTACAGACAAAATATACGGCAAATGGCCTACCTTGCCATTATCGTCGCTGTATAAGCGACTTGGCTCCTTATACTATTCGTAGACTCTTAGCCACGATCTGACTTTCTGGATATATAGGATCTAATTAAGATTCTGAAACCTCTGCTAAAAATAGTTCAAGTGCTTAACCAGTAGCTTGGTATCTTCTTTATATTTAACACGCTAATATTACAGATTGTCTTCAGCGTAATCTGGCTTATATATACCTACATTGGGTTATGTTCTGTTACCGTACCTAAAATATATGTTAGAAACCGATAATTCAAAGTGCCTCCGGGAGCGAACGGGGTTTAGTATCGTCTAATGTATCAAACATAAGCGATTGGCCGTATCTTCTAGAAAATATGAGATTGATCACCTACGGGGAAAACTCAAATTTATCGGGCACGATAGGCCGATATTTACTAGGATTATTGTTCATATAATCATATATAGGCATCGCCAGAACCCACTATAACCCGGACCCAACCCAACCCAACCCAACCCAAAATGGGTTTTGGGTTGAATACCATAACCCATTAATAGGTTTTGGGTTATCACCTATAACCCAAAACCCATTTGGGAACCCAGTGGGTTCCTATTTTAGTATAAACAAGGCAAACAGGCTACTAAGGCCACTACTCACATAACTGTATAATTCTGTATTCCTATGGCTGTAATATCAGGTATTTAATTTCCAGTAATATAGCTCTTAATACTAGATATTTGTCATATTTGTGAATTCATCAATTAAATTGTATAGGTATAGGAGACAGTGATTAATAACTAGCAAGTAAATAAATTCAAAATCTAATAAATCTCAAAAATATCGTCAGTCCTAGCTTTACGCTTTCGTCCTGATATACAAATCTAGGATAGCTGAGATAGCAATAGAGGCTATAATAGCTGTAGCTTATCAAGATTGTGACTACTTGATCTAGCTATCTCCTCCCTCTCCTTAGTTATAGCTAGCTCTTCCTCCTCAGCTACAGCTGGCTCTTCCTCCTTATCATCACTAATACTATTAATCTTAACCTCCTCTGTATACTCCGTATCCTGTTCTCTGGCTGCCTTAATTTTATATAGAGTAAAATACTGCTCTAGCTCCTTTGTCTCTGTCTCCTGAAGGTTAAATTATATTAAACAAAGAAATAACATATACTCCTTAATAATATCAGAATTTATACGACCACGTCGATAGTAACAAATATCACGTATAGTATTAAAAAGCTGTTTAATACCAGCACCAGTAGCCAGAATAGATAGAATATCTTAGGTAAGCTGGGTAATAGCAGAGAAGCAGATCTGATTCTCTTACCAGTACTGTAGTGGCTCTATTTCAATTAGGTCTGATAAATATTAGAATACAATATAATAAAAGATGATCAAAAAGTTAGAATATACTACCATCTAGATACTGACTGATTTCGTCCCCTATTAGCTTTGTAGTTTGCTTTGTCCTACTCAGCATCTTGTTAAGTCTAGAAGTAGACTTAGTCTGGGCTTAAGGATCTAGGGTAGACTGATTATTTAAGAAACGGCGCTGATATAGAATCAATGCTGATTAAAATAACCTCCAATACTTTTTACGCTAATTAGTATCCTAGTTATCTGAGAGAAAGAACTAAAATCGGCTATCAGAAGCTAGTATTATACTGACAGTAAAAGTATATTTTTGTATATAATCTGTTTGTAAATAGTAGATACTTAGTTTTTTACAACCAGTATCTAAGGCTGTTAATATCTGCTGTTTCTATAGAATATACTTATATTTTAGCTGTTCTTTTGCCTGTTTAAGATAACTAAAAAGTATATTATAAAGCTTAAAGATTAGATAGGTAGTTATATCCTTAGTTTTAGATAGCTCTGTTATATAGTTAAAGAACAGTTAGGTAATATAAAGCAGATAGTTAATCTGTCGCTATTCCTTATTAGTTAAAAGTATCTCGTTATAGTAATATTCCTTATAGAATGGCTTAAAGAAAGAGTAAATTCTTTTAGTATAACAGAGCATTAAGAACGTAGAGTTCTACCTAGTCTTTACGTCTTAAACTAGCACAAGCTTAGGCTCTTTGGATTAGAGTTATAGAAAGGTCTTTCGGCGTTAAGGACTAGTATTAATATATATCGCCAGGAAATATATTTTGTTTAGTATTGATAAAATCTTGTATTCCCAGGCATTCTGTTTTACTACAGTAGACTGCTGCTCAGTCTATCGTATATTAGTATCCTTATTTTAAGGATTAGCTTTTAGCTTCTCTAGAAGATTATTTAAACTAAGCTATATTATATATACGAGACAGAGAATCTGGATAATAGTTATATTACTTAGTAGATTTTTCTAGATGGCTTCTATTATTGTCCTGTTATTTATAGCATTATTAGTAGTAATACTATAGATCTGATCTTGGATCTGATATTCCTCTAGGATCTTAAGAAGTATATTATTTAGATTTAAACTACTATATATACTATATACTGGCTTAAATCTAAGTAGTACCTCTTAGTATATCTAATTTATATCTATAAAATAAGCAGTCACTGCTATAAATAACTAATTATAAGGTAATATTTAGTAATTAAGTATAAGTAAAAGCTTTATATCCGGAGAAAGGTTTCAGAGGATAGAATTCTAATATATTTAGATAATTAAGTATAGACAGTAATGTATCGTTTTAGCAGAGGATATAAAGAGGTCTGATAGTATAGAGCAGCCGATATAGATAATCTTATAAAATATAGGATTTTTAAGTAGTTATAGAGGTAGTTGATTAAGAGTAATAAACTAAAGTAACTTCTCTTCCCAGTATAATTATATAAAGGGGGGTTTCTTTTATAATTTTACTCTAGAATATAAGATATATTAGTATTCCACACGACGGCAAGCGGGGGGGCCAAAAACGGCCGCCATTCGCTACCCGAGCCTGCCGCTCGTGACCGCCTGCCCTAACCCGCAGGGGCCCTGCCCTTTCCGGTATCGCGTCCATTGCGGCCGCCCTATTCGGCATAGCGCCGCAGTGGCCGCTTTTACCGACCCAACCCTCCACCCGTCTTCTATAAAAGGCCGCTCGTCCTCATCTGCACTTCTCCCACGCACCTTCATCTCTTCCTGCCCTCCCAACTCGACTGAACCCCCTTCCTTCGCCCCCCACTAGTCTCAAACGTGTTGGGTCTGGTTGCCTGATCTTTTCATTTGATCGAAGATGTCGCCTAACCGGGAATCCAGCTCGTTTCGGCCAGCTTTCGCCGTGGCTCAAATCCGCGCTTCGCGATCTCTGTGTATGGATAAGAATTTTCCAATCGGTAGCTTTCTGCTTCATTCTTCCTTGAGACTACTATGAAACCCTGGCTTCGAACAGAGCTGCATCTCCGGACTGTTGTCTCGTTTTTCAGGCTGGAAGCATCGATTTCGCGATGTCTTCGTCCCCTCGGTGTACAATGGATTCTGAATCTTGTCGGACATGCCGCCAGATATTGCACCGCTCTCGCCACCTCGAGGTTGCATTGTACTGCCTCTCCCCACTGTCTATCGTGAATGCTGTGAGACCCGGTGGGCCTACAATTTCCGCGGCCCTTCGTCCGGCTAAATTCCGCCGCCAATCATTTCATTTCGCTGGCCGTATTCACATGAAATGATGGCAAAAAATGCCGCATCTGCATTCAGCGGCGAATTTCAGGGTTAGAGGGCGGGGCGGTTGCCTTGATTCAGGCAAGGCTACGACAAAAGCATGCGTTGGGAAACGGGGGCGGACATCGCGGACATCTGGCCGAAATGCTCGTGCTTCCGAGTGGTATGTGAGCTGGCTTACGACATTTGGCGGATCAAATTCAAAGGCAAGACAATGACCTCTTGACCTGGTGTATAAAAGGAGCGCAGCGCCACCACTTTGGCACTCCAGGAACCCCAAACCCTTCTGCCCAAATCCCCATTCCCCTCTCACCCTATGCCAAAGTACCTTCTTTCCCCCAAACCCCCAATTCTCAGTGCAGATCACTCTCTTTGCCCTCACTCTTCCCTGTTTCATACACCCTGTGGAACTATCTACTTTAAATGCTCATTTGTGCATGATCTGACTATGTCAAACGAATCGTTCCGTTTGGAATCTTTCCGGCCTTGGAATCCTCATGAGAAACCACGCTCTCAGCAAGGACCTCTGGATCTCCGTCGCTACCCAAGTCCTGTCTCTCTCAATGCCACGCCATCTCCAAAGAATTCAAAGGACTCGATGCTCCATTCCCAGATCCCCCATGCCCCTGAGCCTGAGCGGCATCCTCTTCCAGTGCGCCCGCCGATGGAGGTTTGTGTTGATGGGGCCCCACAATCGGTCGTTCAGAATATTCGACAGCCAGATTTGGAGGGCCAAATGTCGCCCGCCAATCAAGATTCGGATAATCTCGATTTGAAGGAAATTATGCATTTGCAGAATCTACCAAGCTCCGGACACATCGATGATCTAATTTTCAATTCCGTCGATGAGCATTTCGAACAGCGAACCCACATTGGATCATCTGACCTCGAGCCTTCCTTCACGCCCGATCAGGTTTCTCAGTCTATGGCTTTCCAAATCTCAACCCCACCAGGCATGGAAAATTTTGCAAGTGATTTGACAATAGACCCGGCGATGTTAGAGGAAGACTATTGCCGAGTTGGAGAACAGCAGGACACCACGGAAATTGCACCTCCTTGCACCTCCCGCCAAGCAGGCTTGCCCGTGGACAATTGTCCCTCGACTAAAGATGACAGCAGTCCCTATGGCAGACGGTGCCACTCGCCGACAGCAAGCGATCCCAGTCGGCGGTCATCCAAAATCCAAAAAGTCTCGGTCGTCATCGACAATCGTCAACAGAAGAACCAGGAAAAATCGAATCGAAGACCTGGTCATCAGAAAGCTTCGTTGTCCACAATTATTGCGCAATTTTCTGCACTCCCAGTGGAGGACCGACTGCAGTTCTTGTCCTGGCTGTTTGAGGGTGCTTTATCGCGCTGTCTGCCTCGCCCTGGCGAAGTAAACACGAAATCACGAACCATGCCAAGTGATGATGTGTCTTCAACCAGGACTCAAAATGCATCGCCTGGCTCATGCTCTTCGAGGAAACGTCTACGATATTCCGCGGAGGAAAATCGCCTATTGATACAACTCAAAGAAGTGGAAGGCCTCCCATGGCGAGAAGTAATCAGGCGCTTTGATGATAATTTCCCGGGGAGGAGGAGTCCACAGTCTATCCAGGTGCATTGGAGTGCAAAGCTATCCAAGAAAAGGTCGTCTAGAGTGTGACTTGTGATTGAGGGCCTCTGGCATGAATTTTAATCCACGTCCAATGCATCTCAAGCTGAGCTAGTTTCCCAGGGAGCTAGAGAAGAGTTGAGGATGTCTCGCTTGGCGCCATGCTTTTGATGAAGCTGTATCTGTAGTAGTATACTAGCTAGGCGAACCTACACATGTTGGGAAGTTGTCAAATTTGCCCTGGGATGATCAATGTTAACCTTCCCTTCGCGATCAAATTCATATGATAGAAAATAGTAAAGCCATTGATTAATCTAAACCCTTTTTGAATGTGGATTCTGGCGGAGAAGGTCGATTAAATACTAAAGTCCGGTAGGTCACTACAATTCGGGTGGATTTATTTGGTTCTGTATATCTCAGTAAGAGACAAGATCACAGAAACTGGGATCACTTGCATGTTTATACCTGTATGATTGTAAGCTCACTTCTACCTTACACATAGCATGAATTATAACAACGGCATCAACCAACGACTGTAATATCTCTTTAATACAGAAGCACCATTTATCAACAGTGAGTATCCCAGGCGGGCTCAGGGTGTGCTCAGGGTGTGCTCAGGGTATGCTCAGATCGTCGTTCGGATCCCCAAATTTTGAAACCACAAATCTCTCTCACTTGGATTTTGATCCTTGTTATGAAACTATGTTTTCTCCTCCGCTGCGGTTAGCCCATCTCAATTTCAGCTTGGGCGGCCCGGCATTGATTCTGGAATTACCTATCCGGCGGAGTGTGTTCCAGTCAAGCTTTGTTTGGGGAAAATATCACAATACATTAATGAAGCTGAACAGCTCCCTTCACTTGAATTGCGCGAAAGTAGAGAGCCGATCTCATCGAATTACATGCTGACAAAACTACCAAAACCTAGTGCGAATCACGGAGACGCGCCCATGGGCATGCAAATTAGAGAATAGCTGAAACTTGATTCTTCCTATGGCCACAAGTATTGATGCAGCAGTTTTCTGTTTATTGGATCCGAGCCTCTTTGGGATGCCGTAGTCAAATCCTTGACACTTCTTGCTTTTTCATAATGGCGGCCGGTGACACAGCAGTTATCTTCATGCATCGTTTTCTCTGGCCCATATCTCTTCCTGTCCTTGAAGAAAGTATGTCAACCTGATGTTTGATGAGTACTTTATTGCATTTCTTAAGCTCGGAAGATCTCTGGCACGGACATCACGACAAAGAGATCGCACGATGGCTTCGTGTCCTTCTCGCGCTGCTAGTTGAAGGGCTGTTTCTCCAAAAGAATTTTCAGCCTTGCAGTTCAGCCTTTCATCTTGGAGCAAGAGTTCCACAATTTCCAGGTGCCCATTCAGTGCTGCCACTGACAATGCAGTGCTTCCAAGCAATGTAGCTGAGTTGACATCGATTCCACTACCCTGGTCAATCAACAGCCTCACAATCTCGGTATGGCCATTCTCGATTGCGATGTAAAGAGGAGACTTGTTCCAGACTGGTTTGTTGACATCAATATCATTCTGGTCTAGAAGCCGACGAACGATCTCTAAATGCCCTCTCTCGCAGGCATAGAAGATGGGTGAGGCATTTCGAACATTCAGCACAATATCTGGCCTGGTGAGAAGTACCTCCAGTAATCGTAGACGGCCACTTGATGCAGCATAGGTGATAGGAGTCCAACCACACCTATCGCGAATGTTTGGATCCAGCATCTCAAAATCAAGGAGAACACATACGAGAAGAATGTTGCCATTTTCGTACGGCATAATGAAGGGCCGTTTGCCCCTGTCGACAGAACGCGTTGATGTCAACCGACTCCTCGGATAGAATTTGCAAGGCCACAGACTGTTGGTTTTCACTAATAGCAATGCATAGAGGTGTGGCTTCATCTACATCGCGAGAATTGATTTCGATACCGGGAAAGGCTAGCAGAATCTTCACAACAGATTTGTGTCCCCGCTTTGCTGCCGAATGTAGCGCTGTTGCCCCCCCTTGCATCTGTAGCACTAAGAAAAATCATATTATATCCGAGAAAGCATTTGCAAAACATCACCGTGTCCTTTCATGGCTGCTTGATGAAGCAAACTCTGACCCTTTCGATTTCTGATATTGAGGCTTGCTCCGTAGGAAATCAATATTTGGACCATTTCTTTTGATCCTTTGCGCGTGGCAACAAATAGTGGATGCTCAATGTTGTTTGTATCATCTAAGTTTGCCGCTGAAGGTTTCGTTTTGACATGGTCAAGCAGCGTGGTAAGAATGGTACTGTTCTGCTTGAGGATAGCTAGGTTGATAGGGTTGATACCTTTGCAGTCGGCTAGAAAAGTATCACCCCCCCTTGTCCAGGAAGACCCGAATCAATTCCTTATCCTGATGGGCGGTAGCATACCAGATCGCATTGCGGCCCTTGTTATCCAGAGTGGTCACTTCTGTACCAAAATACCCCAAGAGATCTCTGGCCATGGGTAGAAATTTCCTTTCCAGGGAGTACAGTAATGGTGTTTGCTGATGGTTATCTTTCCAATTGAGATCTGCGCCGTTCCTGATCAAGACACCAATCATGTAATGTCTTTCTGTTCGAATAGCAGAAACATAAAAAAGCGGTGTCCTAAATCTGTCATCCACCGTATTTGGGTTCGCTTGGTATTCTTCGAGTAGTATTTTCGCTAGTTCCCACCGGTCGTGCTGGATGGCCCAAATCAAAGCAGAACTATTTTGGGAGCGGACATTGAAAGTGTAGAGAAGTGGTAGGAATAGAACACTTGATCGCTTATTCAATTTTGCCATTGACAGCAAATCCTGTGACGCATCCAAAAAGCCTACCAGGCAGAAAATTAATTCCGGGGGAAGGAAAAGAAAATTCATCTGGTGTGGTGAATAAGAAAACTTGTTGGATCTGCGGAATATTTCACTTCGTCCGATAGAGGCGGTTCAAGAATGAACATAAGGTGGAAGATTTATCAGAATGTAGTAACTAGGCCTAACAATTGCGTCTATGAATATATAGGGCAGTACGTGTAGTATTTATCTCATGTCATTTGAAATCATGGCGATAGAGATTGCAATGCAGCAGAAGCATCTGGACTTCCGTTACTCCTGGGAGCAGGGGTAGCTCCTAGGAACCAGGGCTGCAATTCTGGGAAATTTATATGAAAGATCCGAGTTAGGTGGCGTTGAAATGTAGTATACGCTGCTAGTAAGCTATCATTTTTTGGACCCCACTAATGAAATCTAGTCTTGTTTACTCCATGCTGCCATTCCTACCAGAAAACATTCATGCTTATCTAAATACGTGGCGATTGTGATTCAAGAATTAGCTCAATACTGATTCTTGTAGACTAGGTCAAGGAAACAGAAGCCTCTTCAGCGCCGGCAATCACCAGATCACCTTCTTCGATAAATAGCTCCGGCCAGAAAAAAGGCACAAACTATTATCCACATAGAGGCAGTGAAAGGGGGAGCAGAACCATTGGATAAGTTTGTAGGCAAAGCCGGACCAAGCGGTATGAATGTCCGTAAGCTAGGTGTGGTGGTGACTGTCAGCGGCCCGGTCTGGAGCGGGAATGTTGGAAGTATCAATGTCAAAGGAAGGTTTGTATTCTCCGGGTATTCGGCTTGTTCAGCTTGAGATCCTTCGTGAGAAGAATCTGTTCGCGCATGATAGGGTTTCGGAAGTTGTTCACTCTGGGCATCTTTTCGTACCAAACTTATCATATATCTAATTGTCGTCTATCAGTGATGTTTCACATTTATTTCCGCATGCAACTTACTGGCTTTGCGTTGATTCGTGCGTCTTGAAGCCTGACATGGTGAAGCAATATTGTAGCACAAATGGGAACTCAGGCGGGGAATAAGTTTGTGTGAATCTATCAGATTAGGAAAGTTATGTCCACGAAGAGGAGGACGGAGGATCCTGATGATACAAGAACTAAATATTTGTATAACTCAGTCAATTGAATTTGAAATAGAGTTTCTCTCAAAAGAAGGGATTTCACCATATTCATCGTTCGATATTGATTGTGACGAGCTCATAAAGGTGCGGGAACCTTTCCCATAACTTTCATCAACAATCTCCTCTTGGTGAATATGTTGAAAAAATCATACCGTGCGTGATATGGCACCTGCAGTCTCATTTAAGTGAGATTTATCTCTGGTGACACACAAATTATGATCTGAAACGGGATGCTGTTGGCCGTAACTGTCAAGACGCTGTGTTTGGCCTCTGAAAAAAGTGCAGGGCCACCTTAGAGGGCTTGACATAGTTTGAGAATCCCGGGAGGATATGTTGTTGGGTGGAATCAATGATTTCCATTCTTCCAAAAAATTAAGAAAAAGAATTTAAAAAAAACAGGTATTAATGATTCCTGGAAAGAAAACACAAAGTCTATTAACTACACCAGCGCGACAAAGGTCAAAGGCAGTGGGTGATGTGATTACAACCAGGAAAGTGAAATCAATACATGAATAGGTGGCTATGGGAGATCAAATTATACGACTTCTAATTTCAAGAAAGACTGCTATATATCTATCTAACTCAATAACTACTGTTGCTGCTCTCATTCTTTGTTGTTCAAATGACTTAACGAAACGACGCGGTATATCAAAGTGTAAAGCTGGATGGGTTTGGCGGTTAACTGACAGAAATGGAAGTCTCCTCTGGCGCATGGCTGGGGCCTTCTCCAGAGTTTCTCACGGTCTCCAGATAGACATCATAAAGCGCTTCAAGCTCTACTTTTCGCTTCTCTTTCTCTAGATCGCTGAGCTTTTCCCATTCTTCCCCCTTCATTTTCTGCTCCATGAATTCCTCTTTGGTTTTGATCGCACTTTTATCAGACTGCAGATTGTCTGACTGCTGCCGGAAGCCGTTGGGAGTTTCGGTTTTGATTTTGGCAGCATCTCGGCCTTGCTTTTCTTCTCGATCTTGTCGGTATTGCTCTATCGTCATCTCAGGTGGGCAGGGAGTCGGCGAACGTCCATAGACGCTGCGTCCTTGAGAATCAAACTTCGGGGCAACCCCCTCCTGGTATTCTGCATATCGTTTCTTTTGGTTTCTCCAGACTTCGTCTGTCTTTTCTTCGGTTGCTTTCTTACCACCACAGAAGCGGACAAGCTTGGATTTCGGCTCCCAAGAGCACGCCCTCACCAAGATTTCATCGTCGCTAAGCCTGATATTCTTCCATTTCACTTTCATCCAGGTGGACTTTCTTTTTCCATTGCTACAAACAATGCCATAAATTCCGACGAAATTCTCCTTTGTGTATCGGAAGACCATTTTGCCTGAGGGGTCTTTGTCTTTCAGCCGAGAAATTCGCGTTGCTTCATTTGAAATGTAGACTTTGTCGGGATCGGAGTAGTCTTTTCTCCGTTCGAAACGGTAAGAAGCGTATTTGAAAGGTCCATCTTGGATGATGACAAAAGACGAGCCATTCAGGGTTCCCCATCCATCTATAACGACATCTTTGTCATACCCTTCGTCTCCGGTGCTCTTGCTTCCCTTCTCTTTCTTTTCTTTTGTGGTCAGAACTGCCAAGCAGCCATCTTCCAATTGGTCAGGAGTAGAGACCTTGTTCTGGAGAGCTTCGCTTTCGACAGATGAATCCTGATGAGCGGGGGTTTTTTGGCGTTGCTTCTCTGCCTTAGAAGAAACCCTATCTTCGATCGAGCGGGGATGATTTTGATCTGCAGTCTTAGGTTCCAAGTACTGCATTTCGACATCTTCTGTGTCATTTGGTTCTGATATAACAAAATAGGGTGGCTGATGGGGTGCGACTTCTTCTGGAGCATTGTGGTTGGATCGGGAAGACTGTTCATTGCTGATTGGTGCCTGGCCCGTGTGATCTTTTATCACGGATTGTTGGAGGCCGGCGTTTATTTTTTCACGAGAGATAGTTCCATCGTTCATTCCTTGCTCCAATCTTTCTAAACTTTCGCCTTTGTCCTTTTTCCCATCTTTTGCAGAAAAATATTTATTTATACCGTTATTTTTCTCTGCATCCTTGGGCTTTTTCTCCTTTTGCGGCGCCATTCTAGCTGATTGAATTGAACAATGGTGAATTTAAAAACGAAGATGAAATGAAAAGGAAAAATCAGGGCTACAAGTCAGACTATTTATCTTGTTCGCAGAATCTATTTATTCCAACTTGGGGGCATAATAGCCCCTCACATAAATTTTGAAGCTGCAGTTTGCTTTTAAATAACAGAACAAGACTCATAATTTGACTTCATTCCATCAAATACTCGCACATATTACGAGAATCAACTGCTATGAATAGCTGGCTGTTGAGCACAGTATGACCCTAGTGTATTATTTGGAAAGACAATTCAAGAATCATCAATTTTATTTTAGGTACAAGAAACATTTGCAACACAGACATTTCCATCCAAATCCTGTTTGAAGAATCAGGTAATCAAGAATGATAAATTAGAAGCGCGCACTGGCAGCAAAATGTTTACCTAGTTCAGAAAACTAAGGTGCATATGTGATTCGGGTTTTCGACGAAAATAATGATCATCAAGATCTAGATTTTCTCCAGATCTCGAACATGCATAATCAATATCTTCTTTGAGATAGGAAACTGACTTTCAACTTCAGTAGTTCCTGAGCAAGTGAAACGCTGATATAGTTCTTAATTCTGGAAACGAAGAGGCCCTCAATTACCAAACGAACATCCGGTCACGTCAGATGGAGAAACTTTATTGAAGCAAACTTGCGATTTAAATAATGGCCACTTAATCATACTATGAAACTGATTTTCGCTTAATTTGATATAAGATATATATGAATGTTTGATTTTACTTTGAACAGGACAAATTGATTGATGAAATTGAATCATGAAATTGCTCGATGGCCGAATCCCCTCGCAGGAGTTTCCATGGTCGTTTGGGATCATCTTAATGGCGAAAGTAAAAATTGCTAAGGGGAAAATTAATTTCACTTACTGCCTTTCTTTAGCGGGAAATCTGCGCACTGAGTATCTCCGCAGAGTTGGATAGCATAGTAACCTAGCAATTTTCCTGGATATTGTTCTCTAACTCTGTAACAAGAACCTTCAAAAGCGCCATCGCATCAAAGGGTCCCCAATCCATTCGCCACATCGCTCTTCGATCAAGGAATATCACTCCACATGACAGTATATACTTGCTGATGGTATCTAATTCTCCATTCTTGAAGCACAAGTATTTTACTTTTGTGGGATACTACATATCACGATTTGTTGAATAAACCAGAAGTATAAGACGATTTTTTTACCCCAATGTCTGGTTTGGCTATGAGAAGGGCCCCTACACGGCTTGAGAATCTCATATGTCGCACACGCTGCAAAGTATAGAAGTAGCTAAAAGACACTCCGTTCGACCACCTTTTATGCTAGGTTATATCAAATAAGAATGACCAATACCAGCTCCAGATATATTGTATCCTTGATAAACTTGTTATGTCTTGTAGATCAATTGAATAGGATTAATTCCGCTTAATCATGCAATTGGCCGACGACATTCGTCCAGGTAGTACGCCAGATCCTCCCATATACCATTTTCTCGAATTGGAGTATTGACATGCGGGATACTCCTATCCGTCGGCTCACGAGGGTTGTTGCATCGTAATCGCGAGGGGTTCTGACGATTGGAGGCTTGGTGCGGTTTCTCTTCTACGCATTAGCTCTGGATGCACAAATTACTCCTTAAGGTCAAATCTTCGTTTTGCCCTTACCATATCTTCTGCTGATGGTGGAGAGTGGTCAGGATGAGAGTGATACATAACGACCTGCCCATCGGCGAGTTCCATAACCAGCCAGCTTTTGATTCCATACAAAAGCCAAAATTCATTGTGCCGACGAAGCAGATTGTTACGGCGTTTGCGTAGCTGCTCTTTCTTGACTCGAGTCAAAACAGGAGCCATGTCTGCAAAATATGAAGAAGGAATTAATCAGAAGCTAGGCTAGCAATTATATACATGTTTTCTGCACTACTTTGATTTCTATTGATGCCTATCCCAGCGCAGTGTTGAGCTCTGATTATGAAATAGTTTATACAAGCAATCAACCGTTATGAACGCTCCATTACGCGCATACAGTGTTCCTAGTTTTCGCCAGAAATTGAGGTTAATGTTGTGGGCTCAAAATGTTTTCCGCAGCCGCAAAATTAAAAACACTTACAACTCACTATAGCAAAGTGGCCTCCAGTGGCGGAGTTCTGGAAATTCGGTCGAGTCTTAACTTAAATAATGAATTAAGACCTGAGAAGCTTGCGAGAATATATAGCGCATTTTCTTTGAAAGCTCAACAATTCATATCACTGCTGTGCTTTAGGTCAGCATGCCGACAAATGTCGTTTCCAAAACTTCCAGGGGGTCGGTGATCGATGAAAGTAAAACATGACAGAACACCCACTGACTTTTGAAGTAGAAATCCCAAGTTTTCAGCCTCTATGTCCTATAAATCTCTGTCCGTTCCCCATGCTATCTCTACAACTCGCGCAGCCTTGCTTCCAAACACACCCAGCAAGGAAAGAACGCCCCCGTCGGAACATCTTTATGTGGCAACTGTTCCTAGTCCAGCTATTTCCGATGTTTCTTTATCTGACTCTGAGCATACTTCTCAAGTTGACTTGGTGTCCAATTTGACGCAACCGAGATACTCTACGACCGCCACTTCATCGTATGAGAGTCAAGTACCCACCACTGCAGATCTACACGGTTTCACGCATTCAACTGATGATCTCAAGCATTACATACCTGAGACCGATGGGAAACATGTATTCTCGTTGACTTCTTACGGCAACCAGGAGCAACAAGCTTTGAATACCCTTGAACCATCTACTTTGGAATCTTGGTCGGACCCTGAACCGGCTTCGCTTTCTTTGCCAATGCCCATACTGTACAGTAAGATGACTGGGGGTCCTGGAACTGTAGTGTTTTGGGGCAAAGAAGGCTCGCAAGGCAGCTTATCAGATACGGGGCTACCTCATACAGTTGGGTTGGATGACGGGGTCTGGGGAAGCGTATTTATATCCAAACAGCATTGAGGCCACTCCGCTCAGTCTTCAACATCGATAGATACAGCCACGCTAGGACAAACGAGCACTAAAGACGGCACCTCTACATCTGCCATCATGACGTCAACCCGATGGATGTACGACCCAACATCCAGTCGTATAAATTGGTCAATGCGAGTCTCCAAACAGGGTGTGGAACTGATTGTCATGAGCGTAGTTGGAGGAGGCCTTGCATTTGTAGGTCTGGTGCTTCTACACCGTCTCGTCTCTCGCAATTTCCAAAGGAAAAATGAGCGATCCACACACCTTTCTCCCGTCTCGCTGGCGAATAGCTTTTCTAGAGAGGAGTCTAGCACACATATTTCAGATTTAGCGGAATTTTCGCATTTCTCAATTGAATCTTAAACGCATATTGATTGATTTTATGTAAAAGGTCATGTAACATACATATATGGGCATGATGGGTATCTCGCAACAAGGGCCCTATAGAATATGTCGATACAGCTTTTTGGAAACACGAGTTGATGGCACCGGGAAAACGGATATACAGTGTCACAATTAAAAACAGCGTCCCCGGGAAGTAAATCGTAATGCAATTGAAATACCGGTAATGTATGTACCGTTACTGGGAAAGATACCGACAACGTCGGGAAGTTGCCTATTCCGGCGAATTGAAGTGGTGAGATATGAACCGGTGAGATGTGAACAGTGAAAGGTGGTCATCGAAATCTGAATTATTGAGAAGCACTAGTGAAATTCGGACTGGTAAAGAGTGACGGGTGAAGAGTGACGGGTGAAGAGTGACTGGTGAAGAGTGACTGGTGAAGAGTGACTGGTGAACTATAGGCCGGTGACAAGTAAACTGGTGAACCGTTGAAACTTTAACTGTTGAGACCGAGGATCAACTGGTGAGGTTTGAACTGGTGAACAGAAATTGGTGAGGAGTAACCGGGGAAGATTAAACGGTGAATTGGAACTGATGAAGCTAAGATGTTCAAATGTAGGCGAGTGAAGTCGACTGTTGAAAAGTAAACCGGTGAGATGTGAACCGCCAAAGATTAAACCGATGGAGGATAAATGGTGAGAGAGGTGATCAAATAGATCAAAGGTTGGATTGAGAATACGTTGATACAGAAAATAAGTATATTTTTAGAGTAATTCCTGTGGCTGGTTTTACCGAAGGTGATCACCGACCTGAAAATCCGGTGGTGAACGCGGGAAGGGCATCGAAAGTGGTGAGAGTGGTGAGTCAACACCCTCATTTTGCCAGCTCGCCCCCCAATTCCTAGAATCTGCCATCTTAGTCATGTGACTGATGACTCATCTCGATTCTCACCTCAATAAACTATCATGGCCGTTTCAAACGTGACTCCCTTCCTAGAAGACACAAGCCAATATTATTTATAATGTCTAAGCCCGACCCGTGAGAGAAAATACGTCAAATTGAAATTCAGGCTACCAATTCTCATGGCATACTCATCAGCTACAACCAGCGCAGTTTCCAAGGAAAATAATGTGATTCAAAAGCCTTCCAGTGATAATTCATTCAATGCTACTCAAAGCCTCAACCCCGATTTGAGTGAATCATATGTCAGGTTTATTGTAATGTTTTTGTGGATGCTGTCGCACGTATCTACGCCACAACTCCAACCCCTGAAGCGAAGAGAACGGCCCATAATTTTACACCGCCTGCCTTCGCCCCGCCAGGAATCTTCACGAGCGGCCGACCCGGCGCTCTCGCATCATACTATATCGAAGAGTACTTCAAGACCTACAGATCCGCCTGGGCCAAATGTTCCGCTCTGTATAGATATCCACTCAATCCTGATCGCGTGCCGCGGCCTTGGAATAAGGGGTGGGCCCAAAATGCAGCGACTGGGCCAGGCGATTACCCGTCGCTCACAACGCATCTCCCGGTCACTTCGCCTTTCATACCCCCGGAGATCACGGCGCGGGTCAGATAGCTGGTACCGTGCCCTAAAAATCTTAGCCAGCGCAGTAAATTGTAGGCAAGACGTTTTATTATCGCAACCGCTACCAAGCCAGGTCTACTTCTTTGGATCTTTCATACTGAGATACCTTGCCGGGGGTTCTGCGAAGGACACGGTGGATGGAGAGACAAATTTCTTAGATTTACTTGCTCTAGCTGTCAAAAATACGCTCCAAAATAACATTTCATATATTTTGTCATCTCAGATTTACCTGGTGTCTCCATGTGCTACTCTAGCTGCCAGATTTTCAAGGCGAGAATTGGACCGCAGACCAATAGCTATATTTCAAACTTAGACTTGGATATGGCAACTAGAAGATAGTGTAATCAACTGAATTCGATGCAGTCATTCCTAAAAACAGATACTTTTGCCAGGCTGCTCGAAAGCACTAGGAATTGATTCCTCTGCTCAAAAACTTTTGTCATTCCAATATGCTTCACATTCAATTTCACTTCGCTGGTGCACACGGCCTGATATAGTGGATATGCCATGACCATTTAGTGAAGTGACCCAGGGTTAAAGTTCCAGCCACCCAGAAAGCAATCTGCACATACTCATAACATAATGCCGTATACTATCAAATGGAGGGGTCGGGATATGGGAATGGAGCGGTGCTCATCGAAATTGGAGGAGGAAATGGAGTGGACTCAAAGCTGCTCGGAAACGGGGCGGACTCGAAGCTGCTTCCAGGATCATCCGGTAAATTCATGTAGGGTATGCTATGATACACATGAAATTCCGACCCATGGACTCCAGAACTGGCATTGGTCCAGTTCGAACTATCCAATCCCGGTGTATAGAGAGTCGGTGTGTCCTCATCGTTATTCTCGCTAATATGCGGAGTGCTGTCTTCCAGAAGCTCGGGCCACAGCAGCTGGCCACTAATGGTATCATGGACCATTAAATAACCGAAGAACTTCTTGAACACCGATATACGGAGGAATCTCGATGTGACACGGGTCTCTCTTCTTCTTTCCTTCAGTGACACCACTGATAGAGCGTATCGGTCAGCTTCCACAGTATCCACCGAGGGTTTACCACTCCTTTTCTTGACATCCACTTCTTCTGATGCATCTTCAGGGTAGTCGCAAGGTATCTCGGTTGGTAATACGACTGGCGAGGCAGAAAGGTCGACAGCGTTGGGTGTTCGGAGACCCATGGTCATCATTTTCATGTGAAAATGGTTCCAGATATCTGTACGGTTGGGCAGATTCAAGTGCTGCTGGCTAGACGCTGTTCCGAATGCCAAACTACTTGATGATTTGAGCCGCCTCCAATCGGTCATTTCGAATCCGTACTGGAAGCTGAAGCGCCAGAGCTCCAGAATGTAAATTCGAAACCTGGCCTTTCGGGCTGCCGGGTCGAGCGTTGATCCGATTTCCCATAATCCATGAACGCCATTGTCGATTGTCACTTTATCATCGGTACTATTTGGTTGGAGAAATAGCTGCTTCATGACACTCTGTGGTACTTCCAGATAGAGACGGTCTCTGAAAAATGTCTTTAACGACGGAATTGGAGAGTCAATCTCTTTCAATCGGTTCCAGATCTCCCGTCGATCATTTTCCGAAAAACTGGGGAAAAGCACGCCTTCGTCAAACTTCTTCTGCAAGAATTCTTTGTCCTTTTTGGAGACTTTCGGGACTCGGGACTCGATGAGGTTGACAGTAACACCGTCAATTAATTGTAAGCTCTGGATGTGGCCTCCAACAATGGCTAGGAATGTGGTCAAAATACTTCTCCAATAGCACGAAATTGCCTGGTATGCCAGTTGTATCAGCCTCTGGTCCACCGAAATCTGGCACCGGAAGTCTAACGTACCTCGTCACAGTGCATAGCGGTAACTTTGTGCAGGTTTCCAATCCGCATTCCATCCCAAAGCCCTGGAATGGCAAGTAGCGAGTTCAATTGACGGGTCAGGAACTGGTTCTTGAAGAATAATCTCAGATACTGTCCTTTCTTGCTTCCTGCAACTGACTCTAGGGCCGCCCACCAGCTTTCCGCTGCCCGTTGATTCTCGGGCCCGTCAAGACGGCCCTCATAGTAATTGATACGCTCATATATCAACCCATCTGATGGCCGATGCTCGTTTGAAAATCGTTCTCGTAATGATTGGAGGAGTCTTCCCTGGAGCTCGTGGGCAGTTGCATTGAGGTTATCTGAGAAAAAGTAGTCATTAGTCTGAGGAGATCAAGCTTTGAGACAAGCAAAAGGCTTCATACCCGATTCTTCATCAGTCACATAGACATCCACTATCCACCACTGGTTGTTGAATGCGAGTGTATTTCTAGCGGCAACAATTAGATTCTCGTGGTCTAGCGCTCGTAATCCGTAATCCCAATCCACATGCAAGCTAGGAAGAATCCCGTTGTCCGACCGCGGATGCACCCGATGTTGCCAGTCTGCCTGGGATACTATGACGGACACATGATTTTCCTTCATCAAACGATTGCAACCTTGTATTTTCAAGATTCGTTCGAGACGGCGAACATTCCGACGCTGATCCATACGTCGCTTAAATCCCGTTTCAAAGACGAGATGGGACATATGCACCCTGGCCGATAGCTTGAAGCGACTCTTAGCATAAGCATAGAGTCTACACTCCAGGTCATCCGTTTCTGACTGACCAGGAGACGCCATGTAGAGTACTTTCAGAGAACAGAACTGGAAGAGAGACGGTTCGGGAAGGCCGAAGTTGTAGACCTACTTCTTGCTACTTGGCTGGAGTTCTCTTGATGTTTTATATCGTGTGATATATTGGGCATGTAGTGAAACTTTCGACCTCATAGATTTGGCACAAAGTTGGCACATACCTTCAAATATAAAACTGACATTATGATTTTCTGATGCCGACCACCTCCTTATCGCTTGAAGTACAATATTGTGCTGTAGACAGCCAATACTGCGACACTAGACTCATAAAATGTCGACAAAGAGACATTCAGAAATTTACCTCACATTAAATCCGCCCATGATAGGAAATTTGAGAGGCTTTGAGATCTTCTGAATATATATATACATTCTCCTCCAAATCGTCAG